AAGCCACTCATCATTCCAAGACTCACACAGCCATCTAAGTCCACATGTAAAAGAGTCACAAGCACCAGGAGGGTTCCCCTTTTGTGATGACTACAGGATTCTTCTTTTTTTCTTTCAGAATTCCAACCCAAAAACACAGTGTAGGCAACAGGCTCTCCCCCATAATCTCTGTCGGTGCCATATCAAGACTTATTACAGTGTCTGTGAATTTTACTGATGTCTGTGTTTAAAGCTCACGTTCCCTATTGCACCTTGACCTAGAAATCAAGAATTGTGAACTTCAGTACAGATGAGCTCTGAACAGAAGCTGGGTGTGAAAGGCCCCTCCTTCCTCTGGAAGTAATGACGTTCAACATTAATTGAATTAATATCAAATAGGGTAAGTATCTTCCGACTGGCCTGTAACACAATGCAATCTCATCCAGAATAAACACATTGTAACTATCAGATATCATTCCTGCTGCCCTGTACATACTTCTGCGTGAGAAGGAAGGAAGCAGTATGAGAAAGAAATGCTCCTCTGAACATAAATCATTCATTTAAATTGCTCCCTTCCAGCATCAGACAAAAAGAGCTCTTTCTTTTTTGACACAAGATCCCACAATCTAGCAGTTTCTGCCCCATTTCTTGACAGCACCTGCATGGCAAGAGGAAAGAGGACAGTCATTCCCACTAACACCTCTTGAGTCACCTCTGTGTCCTTTCCCATGTCTACATGAAAATTCCTGAAGTAGCAGATCTGCCCGAGTCTGAGGTGGAAGAGATGGGACAACCACAGGGCAGAGCCACACAACCTTCCCCATGCACTGGCGAGGTTTGGGGGAACCTGGGTTCCCACCTGTAGTAAAACAGCAACTCCTCACCCACGTCAATCACACGAAAAAATAAAAACCACCTACACTACATAATAAAGAAAGAAAACAACAAAATTCATATTCCTAACAGGATCAGAGGTCAAACCCTCCAGAGCATGGTACAGATTTTGATTAAAAGCAACGCCTCAAAGAACACAAGAGCTTTCCAAATGGTAGGACAGACCTGACAGTCTTTTCTGCAACAGAGCCTCCTTTAACAGCACACATTACCAGACCAGGCCTTATGAATTATAAAGTCTCAAGGTAAGGAAGCCAGGCATCACACAAACACCTCACCCCAGCGACAACTCAATTGGATCAATTTACCTGCTCTACAAGGAGACACTTGAGTCCATCAACCTCAAGGAGCACTTCTCTGCTGACATCATTTCAAGCACATCTTTTGATCAAACAGCCTGGCCAATGCCAATCATTTTAAAGTTATTTAACAGCAGAACTGCCAGTCACTTGTGCACAAATGAACAACACTAGAAGTATAGCTGGCTGAAAAGCTGAGAGCAAACAGAATAATTCATTGCATCCAAAGGAGATGGAATAACATCAATTTTCAACTCACAGGAAGTATCAATGACAAAGTTGGCATCTTCATATCAGACATAATCAATGTTATACTTAAGTGCCAGAAAAATAAATTAGAAAATAAAACAGTACCTGCTAGCACATGAGAAATATTGATGACTACTTGTGCTAGTAATTGGTAGTTTGCTAAATTGTACTGTCACTGACGTCTATAAATATTTAAAATTTGGTAAAGAATTTCCTTATGTGTTTCACCCGTATATCCAAAACACACTGCAGAAATTACTGAAGCTTAAGCAGGAAGCTAAAGCTTTCTCTGTGTGTCTGTATTCAAGGGATATCTCTTATTTGTACACTTAAAAAGTGACTTAGTTTATGTTTGAAACTGTATTTGGATTCCATTCCACCCAATAAAAAAGTTTCAGTACACATTTAATACAGACGATTAAAGATTCCAGAGAACATGGGCATATTTCACCTGTCAAAAAAACAGACTTAGGAAACTTGGTAAGGCATACCTAGGCATAGATTTGGGTTTTCACTCAAACAGAAGCGACACACATCATGCAGAAATTGCTGCTACAATTTAGCAGATGGTGTTATCCTAGAAATCAGAGCTGGAGACAGCAATAGCAATTTCTGCCCTTCATGTCCCTCTGTCTGCTAATTTTTATCCCAATTACATGGGATTGATTCTCTAAAAGAGTATTCCTGAATTTCTTACTGCATATATCAGATGGTGAAAATTAGAATAGTCCCTTTCCTGCTGGACTTCAGGGAGGCTTTCACTGACTGCCAGCATCAACTACACAGCTGTTATAAATCTACCTTTTTCCTAAAAGTTACTCCTAGTTCTCATCAGTGTAATCACGAGAACAGACCTTCCTTTATTACTTCATGTTAATTTCTTCAGTTTGCCTTTCGAGGTACAGCTCAGAAACCTGCTATCTCAGGTGTTCCCACTACGAGGGACGGGTACCGCGACTGTTTGGGTGCTGCTGGAGGAGCTGCCGTGTGAGCGGCGCCACTCCCAGCATCAGCCTCCTCTGCCGGTACCAGGGAGCAGCCTATCGATCCTCCCGGCTCAGTGCAAAGCCCAGCTGCTTGCTAAAAGCCTCCGAGAGAGGTTTAGTTGTTTTGACTCTGTTTTTTTAAACAAATGATGAGTTCGTGCTTTTTCATGTGGTAACTGTGAATTTGGGAAGAGTTTAGGCTGTTCAGTATAAGCTTGGGTTATCAGAGCAGCTAATCTCTAAACCATATACACTCATGTTTTATTTGATGTGAGCATGTAAGACAATGGTTACCCTTTACAAATCCAGAACACAAATCAGGACAAGGTACAGAAAGAAAAAATCTAGTATCAAGGGAAAAAGAATGCTGAGGAAATGCAGGTCTCTGTAGCTATTACACATCAGACCCCATCTCAGTCCTTACTCAGACAGGATCACTGTTGTCAGCCTGAGAGGTGTGGGAGTCAGTTGTGTCCTGGCTACGATTGCTCTCCCAAGCCCCACATGAGCTGTTCTCTCCACCATCCTTTGAACCCAACTTCACACAGCAGCACAACAGCAGTGCACAAACTCACAAGTAAAAAGGCCCCAAACAACTCAGAGAACCAACACTGTCATTTCACACAAGTCATACCTGTGCTCGTGCTTTCCCCATTTCTCAGGGACTAATTACTGATAGCCAAAATTAATTACTAATAGTCTGGGGGTTTTTTTCCACATCATCATTTTGGACACAAGATGCTACATAATGATACAGAAACATTCTTCCTTGTTGAAGCTGAAGGCGAAGCAGACAAGCATCAAGGATGGCCTATGCATATATGCTTCAGTGCAAGGACAGGACCTGGGCACCTCTCCCAAGCCCAGTTCCTGTGATTTTGTTTCCTCGAGAAGCAGAAGTGTTAGGAGACTCTCTGAAATGTCTGGGCTAAATGTATAATGCAGGTTAGAAGTGTGTTCACAGATCTACAGGTAAAATTTAAGGTGAAGGAGGCAGCTTGGGAGAAATGTCTTACCACATGGCTCCCTGTGCTTTCCTCTCATTTAGGAATACTTTTTTATATAAGCTAGACAGATTTAACTCTCTCCAAATTCAATTCTGCTAACATGCTTGCATTGAGAAGGCAGCGTCACAGAGAAATGATTCAGCTCTGGGTGAAGGAGGGGAGAGAGTGAAAAGGTAGGGAGGAACCTTAATTAACACATTCCTTTTAAAAGGAAAATTGGTGGGTTGTTTTTCTTTTCTTTTTTCTAACAAATCTGTCATTGTTGAGACTGAGGAAATTATCGTGTAACTAGGTAGGCTATCAACAGGCAAATATCCTATGGCTTAATGACTTGTGGATCATAAGATACACACAGCCAGACCTTATTATCCTTATCCTCTAGATCAAAGGGTTTTCACATAAATGGGGTGCAGTCTACCATAGCAGGGAGCTGCTGCAGGCCTTCAGGATTTTACTTCTTTAAAGTTTTGGTGATTACATAATCGCTTTTTTGTAACTGGAGCTCAAAGCATTGTGTGTAGCTAATGAGCAGGTAGAAGAAGGAAAACAGCTGAAAAGCAGTCTTGACAAACAGCTGTGGCAGTGTCAGTCCTAGCCCAAAAGGGTCAATCCCCTTATGAAACAAGTACTTAATCCTTTACAATTTTTAATTAAAAATCTACCAAAACTATAAAACTTTCTTAAGATTTTTGATGGGGGAGGAAGCAAGGGAGAAGAGGGGGGTGTGTCATGCAGACCACAAGTTGCTTCAGTTGAGATGCTCATCCTGTGCAAAGCCATGTTTCAGAGCTGGGGGCTCCCATACAAACACCACCTCACAAACGAGTGCTGCACCGGGGACCCCAGCACGTACCCATTGCCCACAGCATTTAATTAACCACTGCTTCATTAGCAAAGGCTCCCTACGCTCCCTTACAGTCCAGCTACACTTTGGCTACACTTCAGCATCCGCTGAATCGGGAGAGTGAAACCCAGGGCTGTCACCCAGCCCGGAGCTCCTTAGCGAGCCCGTCTCCGCGCGGTCAGCATCCCCGGCCGGCAGCGGGGCCGCGGCGAGCGCTGCCCAGGGCGCCTCTGCGCTCCCTCACTGCCCACCCGAGGGCGGCAGGGGTAGCGCCCGGCGCTTCGCCCGGCTGGAGCGGGGCAGGCAGCCAGCTCCGCTTCCAAATACCAGCCGGTACCCGGGTGGCCGCCGCCGCCCGGGGCGGGGGCCCGCCGGGGCCCAGCCGGCGCCCAGCCGGCGCTGCTTGCCGCGGGGGTGACAACGCGACAGCACTCCCCGAGCATCCCCGCGGGGCTTTTGTGCCTGCTTGGGGCGGGGGCCTGGCCGGTCCTCTCCCGAGGCGGCGGGAGCGCAGCCCTGCGGTAGCATCCTCCCAGGGGCGGGAGGGGCGACGGGGCCACGGGCGCACCGAGGGGCTGCGGCGGACAAAGCGAGGAGGCAGGCGGGGACCCCCTCCATCCCATCCTCTCCTCTCCCCGCGGCTCCGCTGCTAGCGGTGCCCGCGCCGCAGCCGCCAGCCCCGCATCCCGCGGCGGAGGCAGGGCCCGGCGCTGCCCTGGCCCCTTCCCCGCGGCTCCCCTACCTGTTCGGAAGAAAGCATCCACCTCGGAGTCAGGGACAGCGCCTTCCTCCGCCGCCCCTTCGGCGGGATTCATGGCTGGGGGAGAGGCGGCGGCGAGCCCGGCGGCTGGTAATATCCAGTGAGTTAGGGAGGAGGAGAGCCGAGAGAGAGAGAGAAAAAAAAGAGGGAGGGAGAAGAGGGAGGGAGGGATGGAGGCGCGTTCAGCTGCGAGCCCAGCCGAGCGCCGTTCGGATCATCCCTTCCGCGGTGCCTGCGGGGCGGCTGCCCCGGGGCTGGGCTGCGCTGCCCCCGGGCTGCGCTGGGCGGTGCGGCCGGGGCGGGGTGCCGGGCGGCGCCCCCCGCCGCCGGGGCAGCCCCTCTGCGGGGCGCGGCCGCTCCGGGCGGGGCGCGCCGGGCACAGGTGCGGGCACGGACGCCCCGCGGGGCTCCGGAGGGAATTTTTGTTTTATTCCCCACCCCTGTAAGCTCCGCAGGCGTGTGGCTGTGCATCCCCGGGCTGCACCGCTGCCATGCCTCCCCTCTGATGAACAGCCGCGGGGGCACGGCGCGGCGCTCGGGTGTTAGACGGGCAGGTACTCGGGGGGCGAAAGTGAACGCTGATGTGGTTATACGGACACAAAATATTGTTCTTTGTTTTGGGCTTGGGTGGAGGAGTTAGGGGTTTTTTTATGATCAGGAGCTGTTGGGCACGATTGCTTTGGAAACGCTCAGCGAAACTGCACGTTGTTGCAGGTATGCCTTCATATTTTATTCTTTACAGTCCTCGGTGACTAGAGAGCCAAAAAGGAGTTTGGAAAGCCAAGATCCTGGTCCCAGCTCAGACATTGATTCTGCTTGCTAAATGACTTTGAAATCTCTACTGTAGCTCCAATATTTGTGATTTGGGACAATAATTGTCTCAAAAGGAGTGCTGTGAGGAATACTTGTTTGTACTTTGTTAGCCACTGAGTTAAGTGTTCTTCCCTGAGCCCAGCTATCATGATTTCAAGCACAGACAGCCAGATATAGATGAAGACAGATGTTTGCCATTTGGGCACTTTCCTTTCCTGTTCACCTATTTGAAGTTTCCCCAGCTCCTCATTCTTCTATGATCACATAACAGCTCTAAAATGAGCTTAAGGAAAAATGTTGCTTTTTCACCTAACCACCACTGTAAAACAGGAATGTTACTCTCACATCTCACAGTTGTTCATCTTTGCTTCCTCTACCATTAGAAAGAAAAAGCAACTGTTGGTGTGATGATCCCTCCGGCTATGTTACCCTTGGATAACCCATCCTTACTGCAAAATCCCATCCATCACTCTCAAGAACAGCAGTCTTTTAGCCAGAACATCCCCATGGCCTCACTGTCTTTATCCTTTAGGGGTAATGCCTAATCATCACTCATTTGCCACTGAAAATCTCTGATGTTTAAGAGACTCGAGGACAAAACCTCTCCAAACCTCCAGCATGGAGAGATGCACTGGAGGACTTCAAAAGAGATATCAGTCTAGTTCATCTTAAGGAAGAAAATACTTTGTCTAGAAGTGTCAGAGCCAACTGATTGTAAGTGACACTGTTTGGATCAGTTCTCAATCCACAGGTAGTTTAGCAACTGAGGCTAGCAGAACATTTTCTGTTTCAGCCCAGATTATTTTAGATGCCCGAGGAGCATGGATTTCCTCCACCTGATCTCTTCTCAATAGAACATAAGGGAAGGCTGGATTTGGATGTATATCACACTGCAGAAATTTAACTGTCAGAAGGGTATTGACCAGGCAGGATGAGCACAGAGATCCCAGTCACATCGCCTCTGACCTTCTTGTTTACTACTCCAATTGAAACCGAATATGTCATGCCCAGGCACTCAGAAATAAAAGCAAACATCCTACAGAGATCCACCTAGCATTTCATGTCCTCATTCCCTCCCTTCTGATACCTCATGTAGTGCCATTTCCCATGCCTACCTCCAGCTGGTTTTAACTGAAGCCGTCTTTTTATGTTTATGGATTAAAAGAGGTAATTTCACAATTATCTGCAGGAAGTAGCAAAACAAAGTCTACATCCAGGCTGGCAAAGCTCATTACAGACCCCTGTGCAGCTTCTGACTCCTCTCCTTAGGACTACTAGGATGCCAGAAGCACTCCATATCAGGTGTGCCAGGAGTAGGGCACTACCACAGTACAAGGACCTGAGGAAAATCAGTCTTTCAAGCACCAGACTTTCTTCAGTGACCATTTACCCCTTCCACATCACAGCACAGTGATGCCTTCCCTCTTCTAGACTTAAACAAGCTCCACTATTTTGGATCCCATCTCAAGATCTCATTTCTGAATATTCACTAGCACAAAGCAAATTTGCTCTCCAAGAATCTTACATGCAGATACCTTCAGGAGTGTGAGCTTGCCATCTGGGAGGAAAGTGGTTTCCTCATGAAGCTTCAAATCCACTCAGGATTTGGTACAACCTGGTTGATTTTAGAGTTAAAGCATTCTGGATCATCCTTAGTAGCTAGATGGGAGTTACGCATAAGCAAGGAAGGTTTAGCATCATCCAAAGGGAATTATTTTTTTTGTCAATGACACAGAAATTTATATTCCACTTTCCTTAGGAACCCTGCAGATGTGTTCTACAGAATCAGGTGTAGGAATTATATAGAGTACAAAAAGCACATTTGTCTGTATAGGCTCCAGTCAAAGGTGTTGGAAAATGCAGAGGGGAGGGAGAGCAGTTCATTTAGCTTACCTGCCATCCCAATACCTACACAGACCCCTGGTTAATGGTTAAACCAGTGAAAATACTCATATTTAACCATAGAAAATACCAGTATCTTCTGAAAAAAAAATTTCGTCATAGAAAACCTGCATTGCAATATGGATTGTCCCAAATCTCTCATAATTTAAAACAAATGGGAACTTCCACTTTTTAAAGAATAAAAGTGTTTGGAGACATTTTTTGTTAGTCTATCAAGACTTAGCCATGCCTTTTTCGTGCTCAGCTCTGCTGTGTAAGACACAGCAAGTTTGTTCTTCTCTGCTTGCAGCTCCACTGGCCAGGGAAGCCCTGCCAAATTTATTCACTGTTTTCATGGCTTTATCATTGAAGCAGCAGTCCCGCTGTCACATTTTGCACACACCTCTCACATGCACACACCATGGCAATGCAGGACGGGCAGTGCTACAGTCCAATATCAGTAAACTTCAGTGGAAACCCAGACACTGAGTGAGCTACTGTTTTTCTTAACACTGCAAGCAGAACAGGGCTGTCACTGTAAAATATCATTAACAACTAGGACCCACCATGAATTCAGTTCAAGTCCCAGCAATGAGTTTACAGATTTTGTTGTTCAAAGAAGAGCTGTTAAATATAGAATGAAATACTATCTGCAATGTATAATTCCCTTTTTAGATATAATGCTGAAGGCACCTACAGTTTCTTTGAAAAGCAAAACATGGAAAAAAAACCCTGTAGAATTACGTAAGCCAAAATACAGTAGTTTCACTGACAGACATTGCTTTAATCTTTTGCATGGCTCTACTTGACAAATACCTCAATCCTTACCAAACAACTTCATTTAACTAGGGATGACTGTTTTTCTTTTTGACAGCTCCTAAAGCTGCTCAAAGATCAGAAAGTGTCACACAGGCTTTTGATTTAAGGCCTTTGCTACAGTCAAGTTTTCCAATGGGATGGCAATAGGTGGTATCTGAGATTAAACATTTTTTAGCTAAATCTCATGAGCTTGCGTGCTACAGGATGGGAGGAGGGAGAAGAATGTGAACAAGAAATAAGTAACATTCATCTTTCCAAGACAGCAGATCCAAGACAGGAGAAATAAATGTGATGGTTCCAGGACAGCTGCACTGCTGGAATCAGAGCAGAACTCTGCAAAGGTGTGTCCTGCAGAGAGACTTAAGCGTCCAGTGCTACAAAAGACAGTACATGACAACAAGAGTTGTCATTCAAAAGGGACAGGGAGAAAAACCAATATGCCAGACTCAGCAGATGAGCTGCAGTCTGTGAGTTGCTGCAGAGACCATTGCTTGTGCAGAAGTCCCTCCCATTCAGTGACACAGCAATGCCTAAATAGAGAGTGTTTTTAGGAGGTGGGATCAAGAGAAAACCTGAATAATAGAGCAGGAAAATCTAAGTCTTAAAAGCACCCAAGGCTGACTTGTTAATAAGTTATTTTCAGGTACATTCTGGGTATGTGAGAAGAATTTCTCACACCTGTTTAGGCCTATGTCTAGGTATTAGACTTGAAATTACTATGCTCTTATATAGGACCAGGCACAGTGGGGTGGAAATTTCCACCTGTACTCTAGACTATCAGGGATCCTGCAAGGGAAAATCTGCAAGACCCTGGAAACAGGATGTTCAGAGAAGCCTCCAGGGCAGGATGGAGGAAGCCAAAGACATGCTACATATGCTTAAACTCAAATGCCCATATATATGCCAAAGATTCTTTCTGGCTCAACAGACAGCATGCACACATGAAGGCTGGCTTTGCAGCACCCACACTCATACTCACATATGTGGCTTAGCTCTACTGTTTGCTCAGATGTGGAACAGCTGTATGGGCAGGCATAGAGCAAGCTCTAATACCATGCCAAAGTCCCTGTCCCAGTACCATCCCTACTCTTTTTTTATTCCCCCTCTGGATCACAGCTGAAGTGGGAATGTCTGCTCAGTTGCCATCTATTCTCCTGCTTTAAGAGCTGACACAAATTCCAATTTCCCCAAACTTGGACAGAAAGCTGAGCAATAATCACTTCTCTACAGAAACATCACTCAGAAGAAAGCAACAGCAATTAGCAAATCAATTTACAAAATATAGAATATTTTTATCATGGTAGTAGTGCAAAGTATCATCAGTCAGATAAATGTGTCTCTTCTATAAGTTCCAGAACTGCATTTGCCACTCTGGCCACAGAATCTTAGACTGAATGAGCAACAAGCAGAACAGCTGATGCACCCAAGAAGACGACACAAGTCTTACCTAAGCTTACAGAAAAGAATCTGGAAGAGCCAACAGTAACTGAAAATTCTTTTCTCCTTGGTAACTTATTTGGATTAGTTTGTTAAATATGTTGCTAATTTAGTGCTAGTGGATCACAGATTCTGTTAACTAATGAAATAAATAAATCAAAACACAAAGGTTGTATTCCTCAGCCAGGCTCCATTTGCTACATCAGGCTTGAAAAGTGAACATTGTGCTGGCCAAGTGTACACTGTACTTTTATGTACATAAAGAACATCAAGTCTTAAGCACTGTTAAGCTGGAACATTTTATTCTGAGTTTCCTGCAAACTTTTAATCCTGATTCTGAAGTTCTGCCAGATTCTTAGTGATACTGAGCAGTAC